GGTCAACTTCTTTGGTACTGTATTCCATTCTGGAATTACATCTCTCACAGTAGCCCCTTGGCCACTGCATCTGTGTTACCTGTTCAAAATGCAATCAATATTTAGAAACATGTCAACATTCATCAAACAGTATCTTATCCCCAGATATGGAGCAGGTTAATTCTAAAACTATCATTCAATGCTCAGTTTGAACATCTAGGTTGGGGCAGAAGGTTTATTTCAATCCCTAAAAGAAAAATTTAAATTGTGAATTTGACAGTCATGTTGACGTTATACATTATCCACTCTCCCCCCTTTTTACACATGAACTCATGTGTAATAAAATCCTGAAATGGGGAGGGGAGGAGAGAAAACTTTCAGTTACATTTTGGTTAGAGACATAGCAATTTTACATCCATTATTATTATTATATTTCCACAGTAAACACCTCAGTGAAAATAAATTTTTCTCTTCATCTTTCAGTCCTAAAAGAAACAGAATCTTCAAATTATAGTTTGAGTTTTTTCATTTGCAAAACGCCAACTCCTGTGGGAGTAAAATATCATCAAGTAGATTAGAAATGGGTCACATGTGCGGTTTCCCATTTTTGTGGAATTATAAACCTCTCGTTTCCCTTGGAGCTCCAAAATAATGTGTTAGTCCAAAAACATGCTTGGTTAGTTATTGTTTTAGAATCATGCCGGCATTCATTCACACTCATACCGTCTGGTTGTCAAGTCAAGTGTGGTCAGGTACACCCCAGAGTCAGTTATTGACAGTGCTTTTGTCACACTGTCAGTCAGGGTCAAAGGTCATTTGGTCTCGGTCTTTTGGCCATGTCGTGCTCTGCAGAGTCTTTTCAGAGGTAATTCAGCATAGGCGGGTACCCTTTATCTACAAAAATATGTCATATGCGGAGCGCCATTCCTTATTCATTCATGATTTCAACTATGATTTTCAAGATGGTTCTAACTTTTCATTGGGACTTCTGCCTCCCACCTTTCTTGAAATTTGGTACAAAATTCACTTCCTTATAGTACTACTACTGCAGTTTATTTACACCTAATTAGTATTAAAATGTCTAAAATATCTATTTCAGAAACTTATATACATGTGGCTATTATCTTGAGTCAAAACATTATTAGGATCTGTGTAGCTCTGCATTTCATAACTCCTTATAATGTCACTTAAACCCCTTTTCTGGTCTACTTAAAAAAACAATGTTAATCCCCTTAGCAGTGTGTGGAACCTTGGGTGTTCGAACATGCAGCAATTACTCCCTTGGTTCATCAAGGATTTAAAACAGAAGTCATTTCATATTTCCATCTTAAAGCCCTCCTATGGTGATAACTATGCCACAATGGTGAAATCAATACTTTAGATTGGAATACTATATTTGGCTTGGTCCTAGCTTTCCCTTTAACATTATCCATACAAATAAAGATGTGTCTGAATTTATACAGTGGTTCCTAGAACTATCCCTTTAATCTGTAGATCAATATTGTAACAAATTAAATCACCACTTTATTCACACATGAATAAGAATCTCTTAACGAACAATTTGTTAACATGATGGAAAGATTGAAGAATATAGTTCTACTCTGTACTCAAACACCCACTGCTTAAAGTGTAGTGAATGTTTCCATCATGTCTCCCCCTTTATCCCTCAGTGTGTTTTAGGATGATTCTCATTTTACTTTTAATAGTTTCCTTTTTACTGCTATTTTAATTTACCAATTGATTAATTCATGGTTAATACATCTTTTTGTCCCTACGTATTTATTAAGTCAATTCAAGTTCTTTAAATGTGGTCACTTTTATGTGCGTTTTGTGAATAAGTGTGTTTATGTGTAAACTCACTCATTCCCGTTTTCCTGTTCTCCTCCCCTGGTTTTCTCAAGCCGTGACCCCGGCCTCCTCACTTCCAATCGACCATGCCAACTCCTCTGATTCTGTCTTCAGTCCATCAGCTCTTGAATCCATCGGCTGTAACTCTTTTAGGCAGCCTTTGGCCCGGTTACATCTGCAGCCCACATCATGCCACTGTTCTTGTACTGCTTTGCATTTCATCTCCTCCTTTACAGTCTCTCTACTGTTTTTATGGAGGGCGGATTCTGCTCTCATGTCCCACACTTTGCTCTTGTGCCAAATCTCGTGGCTCAGCTTGGAACTTCATGTCCTGTCTGAGGGACTGATGAGTATCTCTCTGTATGTCAGCATGCCGTTTGGTTCTGGATGCCACAGGTGGAGTTAGTTCTGGCTGCAGTTCTGGCTGCAGTCTTGTTGTTGTTGTTGGTTCAGCTCTGGTTCTCTGTCTGTTCGATGGAGAAGGAGGAGTCTCCTGTTGGGTTAGGTCTTTTGTCAGCTTGGAGGGTCGGGGTCGTAGCCTTTCTGACTCAGAGGGGGAGTCCAGGTCTCGGGACGCATTACCTATAGGAAGTCTAGCACACTGAGGTTAAGAAATTCAACCCTTTCCACTCTGTCTTTTTTTAATCATACTATCTGTCTTAGTTGTTAAATGCCATCTAAACAACACAATTAATGTCTACTAATGTTATTACAAAATCTCCTTCTAAAAATTACTTCAACCATTGTTACATATTTACCCAACATAACTCTTTCAAGAAACCATTTTCTCCTATAAATTGAAATACTTACATGTTTCAAGCATCACATTCCCCACACTACGAAAGAACATCTCCATACTTTCTCCAATATTGTAATCCCACTGTTTCTCAGAACAGTAAAAACCTGCAGAGGACACTAATCAGATCACAGTAATGTAAATTGACTCAAGTGTAAGCCCATGTCTACTTTCTGTTATACTTATTACTTTTGGTGAACATTAAGTTTATATTATCTAAATTCCTTGTCTATGACTTGGAAATAGTTTGAGTGTAAAAATGTGTTTTTTCTCTGGTGGTGCCTTTCCTAAAAATGTTCAATTACTTATTGTGTTGTACCAGTTTTTCCAAAATCAGTTCTAACTGCCGTGCCGTTTCTGGAAATGTGGTGGTACGGCTACACAATTTGCAAGAAAGTGCCAACATGTTCCTTTGTTAACTCTGATCCGGAGTGCATCTGCAGTGCGTTCTACAACTTCCCATGGTCCACTCCATACAGGTTGCAATGAGTTAATCTTGTGGATTTTTACTTTCACCCAATCACCTGATCCAACAGAAATATTCATCATGGACCTGGCATATGCTTCCGCCTCAATTTTCCTAATATCTAACACTGGTTCTCCCCTGTATTGTGAGGGGCTACATTGTGGTGGATATTGCTGAGTGGGGCAATCTCTGGCCAAATGTCTACAATCACCACATATGAAGCAGCCATCATCCCTTCTCCCTCTTGATCGTTGCTTTCCTCTCCATTGTCCCTGTTGTTGTATGGGAGGGTATACCTGTGCTTGCGGCTGTACTTGGGTAAGAGGATATGCAGGTGTTTGCTGTTGAAAATACTGTGGTGCTTGTGGCTGTACTTGGGTAGGAAGATACACAGGTGTTTGCTGTTGAAGATACTGTGGTGCTTGTGGCTGTACTTGGGTAGGAAGATACACAGGTGTTTGCTGTTGAAGATACTGTGGTGCTTGTGGCTGTACTTGGGTAGGAAGATACACAGGTGCTTGCTGTTGCTGGAGTTGTGTGGGACATTCATTGGACCAATGTGACGTCTGACCACATGTGTAGCAGCCACCATTTTGGAGACTTCTTCCTCCGCTTTGTTGGTTCTGCATTTGATTCTCTGGTTCTTCCTGAGTTTGAACTGTTGGAGGTGTTCGCCCTGCCTTCTCTGCTAGTATGGCCATCTGCTTTGTCGATTTCTTGTTTTTATTAGCTTCGGCCTCTTTCTCAGCTTTTGCATTTTTCTCAGCTTCTGCATCTTTCTCAGCTACTTGTATCTTCAAAAGTCTTAGTTTTAGTGCTTTCATCACTTCGTCATTTTCCCTCTGTGTTGCCTGGTATGTCATGTCGTGGTGAATGAGCTGTAGTTTCCATTCTTCTGGGAGTTTAGCTTCTAATCCCACCACGGCTTCCAGGCATACCTGAACTGATCGGGGAAGGGCTTTAATGACCGCGTTCTTCCACAACATTACGACAGCCGGAGAAACGTCATGTCGTTCTCCAGTGCAGTCCTCCCACACTCCTTCACATCTCTTCAGGAAGGTATGCATGTCCTCCCCCGGTTCTTTTCTCAGGCTGTTGAGGGCGTGTAAACTGCGTGTTGTCGGGTAGATGCTACGAATAGCAGCCCAATAGCTCGACCTGATATTGTTGAATGAAGTGTCATCTGGAGAGTTGGTGCATTTGGCCAAGAAATCTACTGCTCTTGCCTCTAGTCTGCCTTCTATCCGTCTAAGCAGTGCCCTCATGTCTCCCAAGCACAGGTGGTCTTGGACAGTGTACTTCTCCAGATCTTTCACCCACTTCTGACCTCCTTGGGTGAGTGGAGGTAGCTTTGCCACTAATGATTCCATGTCCCTGTGAGCCCATGGTTGGTAGTCAAATCCTCCTCTCTCAGCCGCTATCAATGGCATGAAGGTATGTGCACTGGTCTTGGTTCTTCCAGCTTTGGGGCATGTCCCAGGGTATTCGTCCCTACTATTGTTCTCTGAGGGAGATGCAAATCTGCGTCGTTGCTGTGACTGTTCTTGGTAGGGGGAGTGTCTACTGGTTACAAACTGTGTACTGCCGTCGTCGTCATCTTCATCTTCATCTCCTTTGGAATAGTCTTTGTCAGGAGAGTAATTTGTTCGGCGTTTTGTTTGAGATTCTCCCCATTTTTTAGTTATTTGTCGTTTTCTTTCTTCCTTAATTTCTTGGAATCTTTCGTCTGCAGAATGTGTTGGTTCAGGAGAGCAACCAGTTCGGTAATTTTTCTCTTCTTGCTCTTTTTCCCATATTTTCCTTTCTTCTTGTTCTTGTCTTTGTCTTTCTTCCATTCTTTTGATGAGTTCTGCTTCCATTCTGATGAGTTCTGCTTCCATTCTTCTGTTGAACTCTTCCTCTCTGATGTGTTCTGCTTCCATTCTTCTGTTGAACTCTTCCTCTCTGATGTGTTCTGCTTCCATTCTTCTTTTGAACTCTTCCTCTCTGATGAGTTCTGCTTCCATCAGCTGGTTGACACTGGATAGGATTCTTACCTCAAACGCCAATTCTGCTTGGTGAGAAGGGTTGTTCTCTGATATGTCGGGAGGAGGCACTTCGGTCAGGCTTGGATACTGCTTTGGAGTTTGGATAACTGGAGCCTCTTCTGTTATTTCTGCTGTGTCTTCATTTACTGGCAGATCTGCTGCTTCTACCAAATGTAAGCTTGTTGTCAATCCCTGGCTGGCATATTTTAGATGGAGTATCAGACTTGTAACTCTAGCTTTTCTTTCTTCAGCTTTGTTCATAGCGCTTTTTCCAGGTCCATACCACGAGGGTCGTCCAGCTTTGATCCATGCCTCTTGCTGTTGTAGGTATTCTCCATTCTCATATTCAACTACTGCTTTTCTATGGGCTTTCGTTGGTCCAGGTTTATCATCTGCTGGAATCAATCCTCTCGTTTGCCACTGCTCGAACAGTTTCTCTATTCTGTTCCATGTCTTCTGTCTATCTTTTGGCGCTGTCATAGCATCTGACCTGATGTTTACCCTCTCCTTAATATCTGCAGTTGAGCCTGGCATTGAGAATGCTCTTAACTTAGTGTCATTTAGTGACATATTTCTTAAGTAGTTGGATATAGTTATTAAATGTATCAAAGATGAATCACTAATCTACTGAATAGTACCTTCTGTCCTGATAAAAAATATCCTATGTCATCCGAACTTAACTTCAATATCTGGGATTTTTTTTTATTTTTTTTTATTTATTTTTTTTTATGTTTTTTTTTTTTTTTTTAATAAAAAATTAATAAAGTAAATTAGAAATTATGCAAATTTTAAAATCAGAAATTTAAAAAATAAAAAATGTACAGTGTATGGTTTTGACCTTTAAAATATGAAAATTCAAATAAACTGTGTACAGTGTATTCTGAAGTTTATGAAATTATGCAAATGTCATAACTACAATACTTCAATTCAGAGAAACCACATGTAATCTTTATCTGTGTGTGGTGAAGAATGTATTGACTGTAACACTTATGTCCGCTAGGGCAGGGGTTCCCAACCCCCGGTCCGCGGACCGGTACCGGGCCGCAGAGGTGTTACTGCCGGGCCGCGAAATAGCTGTGAGTTTATCGTAATATTTGCAGAATTATAAATATATAAAAATATTTTATCATAATATTTTTTCAAAAAGTGTTTAATTTTCGCACCTATGCCACCAGTCATATTATTTCATCCAGTAGCTCGTGCACACGAGCATGTTACCGGTGCGCCAAGTAGGAAGAGGAGCGCACAGGAGACAACCGTTTGATTGCAGACTGTTATGTTTATGTGGGGAAATGGTGGTGCATACATTATTTGAGATATATTTCAAACTCGGACTTCATTTTAAGGACATGTCGGCCAGGGGTGTAGAGCTATTTGTTTAAGCACCGGATTGGCAAAACAGAAGAGTAAACCAGTCTGCCTTGATCTATGAATTAATGTCCGGGACTCTCACGATCTGCTGCCCGCAGCTGCTTTATAGAAGGAAACCCTCCTTCACTTCTTAAAACGGCTGCAGCATCCGGAGGCAGCGGGACGTATACTCCGCTTCTGAGAAGTGCAGCACCAGTATGACTGTGTTTAACTTCATCAGAACAGCTTAAGAGTGACTGCAGGCTGCTACGTGTTAACCACACACACCTATACACACACATCTACACACATCGAACTGCCCGATTACTCCCCCTTTTATTAGTTTTATGAAGGAGATGTCCAGTCAGTCACCAAGGCGCATGATGTGTGTGTGTATGTGCTCTGCTTAGCTCAGCTCTGTGTGTTCGGTGTGTTTGTGTCTGTCCGACACCGGCATTTGTTTTCAAATGTTTATGAACAGTAATTTACACACATATGGCTAACTCCATATATGCGGCTGTTCCCAAAATAAATTAGTTTAATCTTAATCTCGATGTAGTGCTAATGCTGTCGGAGTGCACCGGAACGAACGACACTATCATAATATCTTCTGAAAACAAATGCCAGTGTTCATAATGCGGCTTCTCCTCGTTTTCCCAGCATTCACTGGATTATCCGTAAATCATACAAACAAAACCAAAACGTTAATTTATCTGTTTTCCCGTTTTGGTTTAAAAACTGAATAACGTCGGTTTTTTGGTTTTCCGAAAAACCAAAAAATGATACCGGTTCTTTTTTAAACTTTGTTAATATGTTTTGGATGCATATTGTTCTAGTATTTGTTCAGGCTGTTACATACAATTAGCCTCTGTTGCTACCTGCTGGTGGTGAGTAAATATTAAAATCAGTTAAAATTGACAACCGGTCCGCGATTTTTTTTTAATGTATCTGCCGGTCCTTGGCACAATAAAGGTTGGGAACCCCTGCGCTAGGGGAGCCGTTTTATTTTTAACTCCTTTCAAATGTATCAACTAATACTTCCAGTTCATAAACCTACTTCCGGTTTATTTACCCAAATAAAGTTCTAATATATATAATAATAATAATAAATTACTTTCTTTGAAAAGCATGAAAAACAAAAACAACTTAATCTACTCTCAATGTTCATCTACACCAGCGGTTTTCAAAGTGTGAGGCGCGCCTCCCTGGGGGGGCGCCAGAGAGCTTCAGGGGAGGCGCAGCATGAGAAAAAAATAACGAGAACAAGATGAGTAAAGTGTCACTTGCACACTTTTGGCTGTCTGTGGAGACCGAGTTCCCCCACCTCGCCAAAAAGGTTGTAAAAGTGCTCATTCCCTTCACCTCCACCTACCTGTGTGAGTGCGGGTTTTCCGCATTGACTTTGATCAAAAGCAAGTACCGGTCAAGGCTGCAGCCAGAGGATGATCTGCGTTTATTCCTGTCTACATTGCATCCCCGCCAGAGTCCTGCACGGGTCTGATTTTCAAGACCCGCTCACGCCCCGCACCTGCAACGAGCAATACCGAACCCGCCCCACCACCCGCACATATTGCCAATTAGTTCCGCAAACCGACCCGACCCGTCGGCACAAGATCAGCAAACCGACCCGAACCCGCATATCCTAGGAGCACTGAAAACATGCAATTATTAACACACGCAGTTGCGTATTTGGCTCAAAAAGCGTGGGATGTTGGTTATTTTCTCCATCCAGGATGACACCAAAAGCCTCCTAGATGTTGGATTTCGCTCTTGAAGAGTTATTTACAATGCTGTATTCTCCGCTAGAGCTTCACCTCAGCCATTTCGAATGTGGCGCGCTCAGCAGCAGATTGATGCGGTGCAGAGGTTATGATTATGCGCGGTCCCGCGGGGAGAGGTCTGAGGAATCTTACCACCCGCGAATCACTTTTTTTGCGGGTCATCCGTCGGGTACCGACCCAATGCAGGACTCTGATCCCCACAGGACTCTGATCCCCGCATCATCCACCTGTGCGCATCAAAGACGCAGACTCATTGTTCCCAGCACTAAAGTATGGGTGAGTGTAATGAGGAGGCAAAGTTGATGTTCAGTGTGTTGCCGGGAGCATAAGGATTCATCCACGATGTTGAAAATGTAAAAAATGTTTAAAACAAATATTTAAAACAAAAAGATAAAAAGGTTTTAAAAAGTTATTTTTTAATGTTTTTAGGAGGTGATGCTACTCAGCCAATCAAATCGGTGCTGTCAGTGAGTCAGCACGATAGATTCAAACACACAGAGACGAGACAAGAAGAGAGAAACAGTTGGAGTAACTTCAAATGGCGTGCTCAAAAAAGAGAAAGGTAGACAGCGAAAACAGAGCATTTAATGACATTTGCTCTTACTGGACCTCTTTGAAATGCAATTGAATAACCCTGCATTATAGCAACAACAACAATAATAATAATAATAATAATAGCAATAATAATTGGGAGGGGGGGCGCGGCTGTTCTCATGTTCTCTGAGGGGAGGCTCACCTTCCCAGACTTTGAAAACCCCTGATCTACACCATCCCTGTGTATCCACCATCCCAGTACTTACCAGTTGTATCACCTAGTAATGCCAACTGGCTAGCTAACTAGCTTAGCATTAACCTCATGTGACTGGGGGAAGGGGAGGGGAACAATGGGAACATTTGATGCAATTGAAAACCACACTGCTTGAAACACTCCAATACAAACTTCATTTATCTTAGCTCTAAATTCTATAGATGCTGACCTTAAAAGCTGATCTTATACCAATCTTGTACACAATCTTTCCGGCTTAGAACATCACACAAAAATATACTTTTCGGCTTAAGAACTCCACACAATATACTTTATTAAACGAGACTACGCCGGTGTAGGTACCATATGTGTTCGGCCTACCAGATGTGTTCGGGGTCCGTTACGCTTACCAATGACGTCACGCATTGGCTGTACGGTAACCCAAGAGGACATTTTACACGGTCAAATTCCGAATGTATTGAAACTCCAGACTCAACGTAAGAGCTTGAGCCTCTTCGGGGGGTGCTAACATTTAAACATACACTTCATTCTTTACTTTGTCCGTTATTATATGTAGAAGATATTACTTTTTTCTCCGTCATGTTGTTTCCATAGCAACAACTTCAAAATAAAAGCATCTAAATAGATTTGTGTTCTACACACCAAAATACGTTATTTGAACACCCCTCTCGATCGATTTACAAGAAAAATTAGTATGGCCCGCCCTAATACACCAACGCAGTTTTTAAAGATATACATTTTTCAACACAGAATCATTTGGCAAATTACACCATATCCAATCATTTTACGAGTCAGAAAATGCTATCTGTTCATTGCAGTTATTGTTTATTGAATTAGATTACCATGAGCTCAACATAATTATGTAGAGTACAAGTCCACAGCCAAGAAAATGTTATTTGCATATCATTTTATTTATGAATATGGAATTATGGAATTCTAACACTGGAATTTGTTATTATTTACTATAACTTTATTATATTATTCGGGTACAGCCCTACTGTACCAAAATATCCGAATATTCGTTCGTTGGAGTACTATTCGGGTTTCAATTTCGTTATTCAGATATTCGTTTTTGTTTTTTTTACTTAACCATAAACGTTATCGTTTACTTTCTCCGTCTTTATATGTAGATATTACTTTTCTCCGTTAATCTCTGTCACGTTGTTTCCAAAGCAACAACAACTTCCTGTCAACTGCGCTAACTCTCCTTCAAAATAAAAGCATGTCCATAAATAGGACATGCCAAATTACACTTAACACATAGCCTATACAACTGCAACGAATGTAACAAACACAATGCGATATCCTTTTCAATTTCAAAGAACACAAATTGGGTTACATTAACAAATAACTATAAAACAACAATACTGTAGAATAACAAAATGAATGCCGTGAATACACTGAAATACACGTGTAACTTGAAGCGGTTCGCTGCTGATTACTACGATTCCGTACAGCCAATCACAATGGGTGACGTCATTGGTAAGCGACGGACCCCGAACACATATGGTAGGGCGAACACATATGGTACTGACACCGGTTTAACACATCAAACATATAAACTAACATGAACGGACCCAGTCCAGTGCTAAACAGAGCATGGCTCGTACCTCCCCAGAGATCTTAACACTATTTGGAGCCAGTCCAATGTAAACCAGATAACCTCTAGTGCCTTCCCAAAGGTCTTTAATATTCACATTAATCGGGCGGCGCCGAAGAAACCTGTAGTCCTGTAGTCTTCTCCTATTGGCCGGGGGCGTGTCCAATGCAAATCCTGTCGGTTTCTGCTGCTAAATTACATCACTCTGATGTCTGTGGTCATCTAAACATTCCCTAATAAACCTCATTCCAGCGTCAATAAATGAGTGTTAAACTCAGGGTGTTTAGTGTACAACATCACGTTATTTCACCTTCAATTCACGGTTTGAAAACGTAGCATTTCGCCACAAGCTAATGCTAACCGGAAATGACGAAATTCACCAGCGGAAAAACCGGAAGTCACATGTGAATCTTCGGTTTTCAGAATAAAACAGATTTAAATGAAATAGTGTATTTCATTCAAATTACGCCACATCAACATTGATTTTAATTTCTAACAATTGAAAAACACAAGTGTGGATCCGGAAATACAAGTGTGAATCCTTCTGTGTGCATGTGTGCATTATGAGACTGTTCTGAGCCCATAAAGAAGTGCTGCAATGTAAAAATTATGGAACAATATGTTGAGTAAAATAAACTAATTGTTGATGAAAACTAATAGTTTATATATATATATAAAAATGTAATTTTTACTTGTTTAATGCTGTACATTTTTATCATCAAACTATAAGTACTTTGCAACCTGTTTTTGAAAAGAGCTATATTTAAATGTTAACTTTCTATTGTTCACATGGTCAAATAAATTCAGTGATAAGCTGAGTGTCTTGGCAATAACCCTAAATTATCAATTTCAGCTGCTAATATTGGAGAGGACTTGCTACATTCACTCTCCAGGGATGACATCAAAGACCTGTTTCCTGGTCCTGCAAATTTCTTGAGGCGCCGGGCTATCTGGCTTGTTGTGAATGACGAAGGAAAGGTCAGTTCTATGTCTATGAAAGTGTATTTAAACTGAGTACAACGCTGTGTATATCAGTAACATGTTAAGGAAACAAATCCTGCACACTTAAATAATATTTAATTTATTTTTAGCGAAAGCCCCAGGGGATTAAAGCTATTTAATTTGAAAAAAAAACTACCCATTTAGCAACAATGAAGGGGCAATATTTACAAACCAGGTGCAACAGCTGAGCCATATACAACAGCAGTTGTGCTTTGAGAACAATTTAAATATGATTGTTAAAAAAAAAACAGTGTTGTCAAATGTTGCATCCTCTTAAAGTGCATGTTCATATAACTGACAAGTAAAGGCACACACTATAATAAAAATAGTTATCCTATTAAATGTGAAATTGTTCATGTATTTTAGGTGGAGACTACTGCCGAAATTCTACAACCATCACCCCCTAGAAACAGTGACCTTTCAAATGAGGAGCCCAATACTTCGATGTTTGTGACTATGTCCAACCCAAAATGCATAGTCTTCACAGACAGTGAGCTCGAACTGGCACGGCACTCATACTTCGAGCAGAAACGGCTCGGTAATGAGCATGTACCCTTATCCAAGGAGCTCTTCTGCAGACTCATAAGAAACACAATGACAAACATGATTTCAATCGCAAGAGCCTCCGAGGACTGTAGATACCCCAGCAAACATGAGGTCAATACCATGGCAAAGAGATTGGTGGAGTATTATCCAATGATAAAAAACTAGGGATGCTCTGATCGCCAATTTTGGGGCCGATCGCCGGAATCAGTATCGGCCGATACCGATCGCCGATCCGATCGAGTGGGCGGGGCCTAAACTCAGTTAATGGGGCTCATTCACTGGAGCTTCCACAAACAACAATCAACTTAATTATTACATTCAAATTATGTATATTATTCAAGTTTACATTCACTTTGGATAATACCACGGGAGAAATTAGCGGAAGCGCTCTCTCCCTCTCTCTCCCTCTCCTGACAGCCCGTCAGTATCGTCTCATGCAGCTCGCTGATCCAGTAATGTGTGAGGCCGACAGTGAAGAATAAACATATTTATAACTAGTTTAGCTTGTTCCAGAGGTAGATATAATAGCTAAGTGTGTTAGGTCTAACTCTTGTGTGTTTTGCTCCGCTCACACCGCCCATCACAGCGGGTGGAGCTGCAGGATTTCTGCTTCACACACGTTGCATACCGCTATTTTACTGTCTTTTTCGGACACCTTAAAATAATGCCAGACCGGTGAAGCCATTTTGGCGAGCTTGTTTTGCCGCGTACAGAGAAAAGTGTCATGTATTTTACGTCATGCGATCGGCCCTCGCGATCGGCATGTTTAGAGAGCACCGATCGATCGGTAGAGAGTGAGTATCGGCAGATCTCGATCGGTGACCGATCGATCGGAGCATCCCAATAAAAAACAGATCATCAAAAAATGACTGGGTAAGTGGGTTTTTAATCACAATGGCTTGATTTTAAAGTTTATGGCAAAAGTGTGGGTCTGTTTTGTCATTTTAAAGTGTACAATTTGTTTCCACCAGGAGCATGTTGCTAAAAAGCTCCAGAAGAGACTCAAATGTCAGAAGCCCAAGGAAGTCCAAAGTTCCTCCTTCAAAGAAACCACGTAGAGATCAAGAAATGGATGCCGATATTACAACAAGTGACTACGATGGAGATTCCAGCGCATCAACAATTATTCTGGAGCGGTCCCCTGCACCAAACCCCCCTGCAGCAAGCCCCCATGCTAGAGCGAGCACCTCTTTTTCAGCCAGCCCCCCTGCTAGAGCAAGCATCCCTGCCCCCCCAGTGCCAGACCGGGATAGCAGTGACAAAGCATGTATGTATTTCATTAAATACAATCAGTATGCATTTAGTACAAACCTGCATTTTTCTGGTCTGTTTAAATCAGAATTTTGTCTGTTATTCCCCTTGGTGAAGTAAGTTTGGGCAGGTGTTTAGCAGAAGTACAGGCATCAATTAACACATTCTGTGAATTCAGATGTTCCTCCACTGTAATTTGGAAAGCTAATAATTCCCCACCCTCCACTCTTTATGCCTTCAGCTGGTTCCGTTGACCTTTTCGACAGCCAGAAAACCCAGGCAAGACACTACAGGACTCTCCAGGAAATGTACAAGTCCAAGAGGCCAAATAAAGCTGCGGTGGCTCATTTGATGAACCTGGAGTTTGAGTCTAGAAGATGATTCATTACCACTGAGGTTCTAAAGGAGCAAGACAAACCGACAAAGATTCTGGAGGCTTACCCATGTTTCAGGGAATTGGATCATGTAAGTAAAGATTTTCAGCATTTACAAGTGCACATTTGAAGATGATTTATATGAAATGATTTTCATTTCCATTTGTATTTGAATGCTTCTTCCAGGTCATGGATGAGCTGCAAATAATCATTCAACCCAAAAACTTCCGTTACATCTTGGAGTTGAAGGACAGATGGGAAACTTTCTACTCAAAGGTACAGTTTTATGGTGTGATGAAGAAAGCCATGAAGCCTCCAAAAACCTTGAATGGAGGTAAGGTCTCAATACTTAGATAGATTTTTCCAAGTTTCATTTTGACGTATCATGATTAACTGATATTCATACTGCCTTATTGTGCCTTTTCTGTCAAACCAGTGGAGCATGCCACAGCCCTGCCACTTCTCTTCCCATCGAACACTGTGCCACCAAGGAAGCTGGGCACCAGCAGGGAGGCTCTCTTCCATATCCTGACGGTGAGACTTACTGTACTGAAGTATTTTTTGTTGCTGTATAGTATGTTGCAGTTATTCATGCTTGTATCCTTGTTCAGGTAAAGGGGTTTGTTTCTTGTGACGCTTCTAATCTTCTACCTTGACTTTTTTTTTGCCCAGACTTCAGAAGACCCAGCAACGTTCCTGCGCCAGCGGTCCCTGTCGTGTCCAGTTGTGCTGGTCTCTGAGGAGAACTGCATGATCGCCGTAGGAAGCACGCCTCTGACCACCTTCCAAAAAGAGCAGTTTGATGAAGGACTTCTCTACCTAATGGCTTATTATTATGCCATGCACCTTACCTACCCAAAGTGCATATCCACACTGCTGTCTGTTCTCCAAACAGAAATCCTCAAAGATGTCATCCATGAACGCGACACAACCCAAAGCTACAAAAAAGCAATAGGCGAGTGGAAGGCCTTTATTGAGTGAGTGAAATGTGCCTAATTCTGCTCTGCAGGCGTTGTTAGTTGTTTTCCTATGTAACTGTAGGATGCTGCTAAATTCATTGTGAGCAATTTCAATTGGATGGTTTTTCCATTCATCGAGGTTTAGGTTTGTTTGTGGGCCCCACACTTCACTTCCATAGAGTAGAATGGGTTCTATTATTGATTGGAGTAACTTAAATTAGAATTTGTCTTTTAATCGCATAAAATGCCCTGCCTGCTTTCTCTCTCTCTCTGTTTCTCTCTCCACCTCTCTCTCTCTTTTTTATCTTCTCCTCTCTCTCTCGCTCTCAGCTCGCTTCCCTCTTCTCTCTCTCTCTCTCCGACTCGCCGTCAATCTCTCTCTCTCGTACTCTGCATCTCTCGGTACTCTCAATACTCTCTCTCTCTCTCTCTCTCTCTCTCTCTCTCTCTCTCTCTCTCTCTCTCTCTCCACCTCTCTGTTTTTCTCTTTCTTTGATAGAATCCTTTTTATCTGTTCGATGTTAAGTGGTCCTGGACTCAATGTTGTTAAATATGTAATTGTTTAAAGGGCCCATGTCATGCTTTTCCGGTTATTACCCGTCCCTTTGTGTGTTATGAAGGTTTTTATGCATGTAAACGGTGTGCAGAGTCAAAACCCTCAAAGTACACCCTGTAGCGAGTAAAACTCTAACACAGAAAATACCTCCCCAAAACGCCTCGTTGGAGATACGTCACTGCCCATTTGAGTCTTCCATTTAGTTCCGGGTACCGCATGATGTCATGTGGTACCCGGAACGAAATGGACCAATCCCGAAGAGCTATGGCCACACCCAGCGGCGCTGGCCGCACCCTCTGCCAGCCTAACATTTACTGTTGGAAGCTCTGGTTCAGTTCACAATCGATCCAGTCATGCCAATGCCAAGGACCTGTTTCCTGAAATGTGAGGAGAAATCTGAGCTGTTTGTCCTACCGACGGAAGAACCACGACGAAGTCAGTGGTTGAAATGTCTTTTTAACACTGTTCCTTCAGAGGTTCGAAGAATGTTACTGTGTGCGCGGCATTTCACAGACGAAAGCTTCCAAAACATTGCCCAGTTTGAGGCCGGATATGCACAGCATTTGAAACTGAAGGACGATGCTATTCCTAGTTTGTTTGGACCGTTTGGAGCAGGGGAAGATTCGGGTACACAACCTGTAAGTTTGCATTGTTATTTGTGTATTTATCAAACAAGGTATCTACCACGACTGTTTAAATGTGTAAACATGTTTCGGACTGCTAAGCCAGTGCTAACTGTGCTAACTAAGTTGCTAGCGTTTCCATATCAACTCTAATATCAGCAGATGGCCTTATGGCGCGTTTCCACTACAGCGCGCAGCCCGGTTTAAGAGGGCTGTGACGTCAGCGGCCCGTCTTTGGTTGCGTTTCCACTTGGCCTAGTACCGGCCGGCGGGTCCTAATTCACAGTTTTTCTGGCCTCATAAAATCGTGGGTCCAGGGCCAGAGGCAACGAGGCTGAGTCGGGCTGAGTATGCTAAACTAGAGAGAGCGTCGCTGGCAAAGGGGCTACAACTACAACAAGATGGACATATTTGACCGTGATTTAATTGTAATACACGTTTCAAAATGATGCCGAAGTAACAACATACTGATACCGGTTAGTAAAAACCATGAATTAATGCTTTGTCAAGTCTGCAGACAGACGGCAGGGGAAAAACCTTTTAAAATGCTTGTTTTCTAAATGGAGATTGGCTAAGCTAACGCAGTATATGCTCCGACCGTCCACACTCACAACAACGGCCTATACAGACATAAATAAAGCAGCGACTGTATTCACCATGACACAGGCAGTCTGTGGTTTGTACTTGTTTAACTTTTGTCTAGTTTCTGAACATATATGAGGAGCTGTGAGCTCTGAGTGCTAACAGCTAACGGCTGTGTTGTTTTTCTGGGGTCCTCTGAAGATCACGTCACGGCTCCGCCTACACTGCGTTACTATAGATACTGCCCCAGTTCCTAAACTGTAATGGAAATGCGCCATAAAGTGAGCCAGTCCTAACGAGGCCCAGCCATACCGAGCGAGGCCGTGTAGTGGAAACGCGCCATTACATACATGTATCTCATAGCAGGAGAATGTCTGCATTCACACACGAAATACTCATAGACAGTATACTCCAGGTGATTTATCAGTCGCGAAACGTAATTACATTATAGCTGGCGTTCCGAGCGTGTATGCTACCGAGCTAAACAACAAGGCTACTAAGAGCTAGACATGAGTTTGCTCGGAAAAACATTGTTTTTATGCCAGCTACAATGAATGTAGCAGACTACCCATATAAGATTGCAATTGTAAACATGTGCTTGATAGCCTAATATGAACCACTATCTGTTGTTCATAGTATAGTATAGCATATTGAACAACTGAACAACTAGCAAACGTAGATTAGCATTGTAATCCAGCTGGCAAGCTGACGAACATCAAACAACTACGTTTATTTCACACTTCCAGCAGAGACAACGGGGAAATCCCCTCTCTTTGCCCGCTCACAGACCCCCAAAGGATGGTACATTACAGTTGGCTTTCCTCCAACGCTGATAGCATGTATAGCTAACGAGGCTAGCTATACATGCTAGCGGGAAACATTGTAT